GTCACCGCTAAAATTTGCTATGATAAATTTATAAAAATTTATAGAACATCTGCTGACGCAAGAAAAACAAGATTTTAAATAAAAATTTCAGATGTTCTAAAAAGGAGTGAAAAATTTAATTAAATATTCAGAAAATCTTTCCTAGTCTTAAGTAACAATAATAAACGATTTTGTTTGACGATAAAACTTTGTTTTACTTTTAAGTTTTCAAGGGTATTCTGATTTTTTAGGGATTTTTTGGAAGTACCTAGAAGTTTTAAAATTATTAGAAAAAAGTTTAATATTCGTAAACTGAAGAGCTTGAGAGAGAAAAAAAAACTGAAAAATTATTCTCGTCACAGTAACTCAAAAATCAAAATTTAAAAGAATATTTTTAAAACAAAATAATGCAAGCTAAATTAAAGAAAAGCTGACTAGAAAGACTACAGTACAGTAGAATTAAAAGAGGCCCTACTTAGATAAAAAAAAAAAAAAAGAAAAAAAAAAAAGGTCTTCAGCGGACACAAGACGTGGGTAGGTGCTACTTCTCCGACAACCAGATGAACTGGGCCAACGGAAAGCGTTATCCTGTTTCCTAAGAACTACTGGGGACATTGACTAATGCTTAGCTTACTCTTACTACACTCAACAGGCTTACACAAATTCATACTTAGCAGTTTACCATTTGTTCAAGTATAAGGTCGGTTAAAAAAAAAAATCTTTCGGTCGACAAAAGGTCAAGATAGTTACTTTCCTACCCATACACACCTACCCCAGTGGATAGGGCTTAGCTTTTAAGAAGAACGCGCAGAGTTCGTCAAAGTAAATGAATGTATGGAAAGAAACTCTGACTTAGCTGAAACAATCTGAAGTTGGTCAAAAAGAAAAGACTAAGTTGTGTCAAACGCTTATTATGAAAACTTGGTCATTTTTTTTCCAAGAATTATGTGTGCCTGTACGTAAAAATGAAAAACGTATTTTAAGTAATTTTAAAATACCTTCTTTGAACTTAAATTTCGGTTTTTTTATTTGTAAAACCTAACACATCTGAATTATAAGAAAAATTAATTTCCGTATGTAAATAAAGTTTTTTTTAAGCATTTTAAAAACATTGGCACGTTCACTAGTCATTCATCGGACCGCCTTAGAGGAAAAAATGTAAAAAACGACAAACTTTTAAAAATTCCTAGAGATATGTTTTGAAGTCATTTAGTAAACTTAAGGATTAATTTTTAAAGTAATGTTTACTTTTTAAAACTTCATGAAAATAACTTATTAGGGTTAGGGGCTAAAAATAATTAAAAAAAAGTTTAATTGCACACAGTTGTTAACTTATGTGCCATGTGTGATACAAGCTAGGCGATCATGTATCTTTCGATACATGACTGACGAGGCAAATTTTTCCCCGCAGTAGGTTGCCATTTCTTTCTGAGGTAGACCAGTTGCCATTCAAGGCTATAGAACCCGGTCTGTCCTGCTATTTACCTATAGCTGGGTGGGAGAAATTAATTAATACCTTTCCCAAAAGTGAATGTAATGGATTCGACTGGAATTCGAACTCAGCTCTCCGATTCCACAATCCGAGCCGCTATCCGTTTTTTATTACTCCACCGAGCCTCCTAAATTGCACGAAAAATGAAAAAATTAAAGAAAAAAACGGAACACTAGCAGTTCAAAAAGATATTGGTACTTATGTTTAAAAATAAATTAACTTTTTAACCAATAACTTAATGTTTTATTCTAAGATTTTATGAAACTTAGTTAAATAAGTTTATTTTTTATACATAGGAAGTATTTAGGTAAATGATACTTTCTGACTCATAAGTTTAAAATACAATTGCTTTCGCTTGTTAAAATAAATCAAACAGTTGCTAAAATGAAAAAACATCATTTAAATTTTTTTTACACAAGAAAAAAATGGCATTCATTTATTTTAGTAGACCTTACATTTTTCGAATCTTCAAACATGTCTTATTGATTAATTTTTTTTAAGAACAGCAACGGGATGAATTTAAAAATCGAACTGAAAAAAAAATGAATTTATAAAAAAAAAAGAAAAAAAAAAAATGAAGTGTAAATTTATTTTTTTGTCCAAGATGAAAGTTTAGTAAATGTTTTATCAAATTATGCAAGAAGCACCATCCGCCATAAAAAAAGGTTTATTGGAATTTTTAATTATTTTTGGTAAGATTCGGGACATATTTTCCAGTTGTTCACACTTGATATTGCATAAACCTTTTACTGAAAAAACATTTTCAGGAATTTTTCTTATTTTCATATAACTGTAAAAAAAATTGATGAACACACACCAAATTAAAAAGTACACTACAGTACACACAAGATAATGAAAAGGGGAGAGGGATGAAACGGACCTCCTCAATCCGAAATATTTTCATAAAGTTTTAGTTTTCTAATATTTAGTTAAGTACCATTCACTCATTAATGAATATGCACTGAAAATTTTGTTTAAATCAGACAATTCCGTGATTTTAGCAAATATTTTAAAATGAGATAGTAGCGTATTTTGCTTTAATTTCGGGAAAACGCATCCATTTGGTTAGTGTAACCCGGATATAAGAGAGTTGTCGGGACCGGAGAAGAAGTCTCTTATATCCGGGTTTGGTCTATTTTGTTTACAGGCTCTAATTTGGGACCAGAGAAAATCTCTCTTATATCCGGGTTTCTCTTATATCCGGGTTACACTGTGTACAATTCTCAAAAAGTGTGCGTGTGTGTGTGATCGGATGTTGTTTATGCATTTCCACAGTTTTCATCCGATTTCGATTAATTTTTTTGTTTAATAGATAATTCTTCAGTGCCGGTTTTGAGCCTAAATTGTTCATGACAATGGCTCTCCACTACTTCTTGTCTATTATAACTCTCAGCAACGTTTTACTATATTTACTATCTGTTCTTGCATATATATCTTTCATAAAAACTTTAATAAAAATAAATAGTTTAAATTATTACAATTATCTATATCTATAATTCTCAAAATGTGTGTGTGTGTGTGTGATCGGATGTTGTTTATGCATTTCCACAGTTTTCATCAAAACGTTTCTGCACATGAGGCTGATAGTGATGATCAAAGGATTCAATGGCTGAGAAGAAATGCCTCTTCAACTGTTGCTGTGCATGAGGTTGAAACAAGATTGAGAACGCAAAAACGGTCCTTTTCAGGGCCACTCCCCATTCAAATTGTACCCTCCCCATTTGGGGATGTGCTTCAGTTGCACCCAATTGTTGTTGCTAATATTGATTTTCAGGTGGTCTGGCTTTAAAACTTAAACTGCTTCAACTGAACGCCAAAATTCCAAGTCATGAAAGACTCTGTTGAAGATGAGTTATACCACTAATATATATATATATATATATATATATATATATATATATATATATATATATATATATATAGTGGAACCTCGGTTCACAAAAATTATATTTTCCATAGGAATCAATGTAGAGAAAAAAGTCACAGTACAATAAAATTGGACAAGAAAAGCACGCCATAACACATGAATGTATACAACATGACGGTTGAATCAGAAATGATTCTGTTTGGGTTAACTCGATTTGTTCGATAACCGAGGCATTTTCATCTCAAATTTTCTGTTTGAAAACCAATTTGTTCGACAAGTTTGAGAACTGAGGTTGACTGTGTGTGTGTGTGTATATATATATATATATGTGTGTGTGTGTGTGTAAAAAAAAAATTCAGATAGAGTATATCTGTAAAACGACAGTATGAATAAAAACAAAAGCAAAAAAAAATAACTTATCTTAGCCGACGTGTTTCATCCTCAAGACAAATGCAAGGATTTTATTTGGTAATAAGTACTTACAGACAAGAGCAAAAATATTAGTGATTTTTAAAAAATTTTAAATTTAAGAACATTTATGAATATTCGTCAGGTTAGCCAACAAATCAGGCAACTTATGGAGGACGTGAAAAGACATTGAATATATATGTGTATTTGTGTGTGTGCATGAATACATATATATTTTAAATCAAATTTACCCCAAACAAGGTAATAAAGCCACTAAGACAAGGGATTACTTGGTGTGAAAGAATTAGAAAACATTATGAAAGAGTGAGAACAAAATAAGAGTAGCCAGGAGGACAGTAGATAATGATTGACATTACATTTAAATGTTTGAAGATCAAAGTTGGCCAGAAGCAAGGAGTTGGAAGAGAGTTCCACAAATGAGAAGTGTGAGAAAAGAAACTGTTAGCATAGAATTTGCAGTTACATCTAGCCAATTCAATTACAAATTGATGAGACCTTGTTACCAATCTAATACTACACTTAAATTCATGAAGTCTAGGTACCATAGTGAAGTGTCCATCTAAAGAATTACCATGAAAATATTTGTAGGAAAGGCACAGGGAAGCAACTTTATGATGTTTGGAAAGTGATTGAAGCCAAGTCGTCAGGTTAGAACCAACAATATTGCTGATTTTCCTTTAGAAAGGATCAAGAATCTTTAAATAAATAGCATAAGCACCACCAGACCATATGTGTCAGTAATATTCTAAGCATGGACAAATGGAAGACTTCTAGATATGTAAGGTAAATTTTGTAGAGAAAAATTGTCTAGCACAACACAGTGGACCAACTTTCTTAGCAGCAAACCTAGCAATGGATTCAATGTAGTCTTTCCCCTTCATGTCAGCTGAGAATGTTAAGCTGATAAGGAGCAATGAATCACTCTCCTGGAGGTTAGAATCAGCCATGCTAATTGAAGACAGAAAAGGGTATCTCAGATGAGCATAGTTTTATAGGCATTGAAATTAACAAGTCATTCTTTGCTCCAGTTAGAAAAAAAACAGTTATATATATATATATATATATATATATATATATATATATATGGGCACGAGTGTGTGTATGCTATTTCAAACATTATTATTAGTGGATAAACAAAGAAAAAATAAACAATGTAGTTGACCACTACTGGAATGGGCATTCGAAAGTTTTAAGTAATTACAACTTTTGGTAGAGCTCAAGTATGCATTCCTCTTATATTGAGAATATAATTTGAGAGAGAGAGAGAGAGAGGTGTGGGAGAAAAGCAAGAAACCAGATCAAGGGAGGTAGTGAGAAGTGCAAGAAGCTTGAGAGAGAAAGAGAGATAGAAACACAAGAAACCTTGAATGAGAGTGAGAGAGAAATGCAAGAAATCTTGAAGGCGAGAATATGAGAGGAGTAAGAAACAAAATCAAGAGAAAGGGGGGCATGAAACCAGAACGAGAGAGGGGGTGGCATGAAACTAGAACAAGAGAGAGAGAGAAAGAGAGAGAGAGAGGGGCAAGGAACCAGAACGCAAGAGAGAGAGAGAGAGAGAGAGAGAGAGGGGCAAGGAACCATAACGCCAGAGAGAGAGGGGGGGGCAAGGAACCAGAACGCAAGAGAGAGAGAGAGAGAGAGAGAGGGGGGGGGAAGGAACCAGAACGTGAGAGAGAGAGAGAGAGGGGCAAGGAACCAGAACGCGAGAGAGAGAGAGAGGGGGGGGGCAAGGAACCAGAACGCAAGAGAGAGAGAGAGAAAGAGAGAGAGAGAGGGGCAAGGAACCAGAACGCGAGAGAACGCGAGAGAGAGAGAGAGAGAGAGAGAGAGAGGCATGAAACCAGAACACGTGAGACAGAGAGAGGCATGAAACCAGAACACGTGAGACAGAGAGAGGCATGAAACCAGAACACGTGAGACAGAGAGAGGCATGAAACCAGAACACGTGAGACAGAGAGAGACAGAGAGAGGCATGAAACCAGAACACGGAGACAGAGAGAGGCATGAAACCAGAACACGGAGACAGAGAGGGCATGAAACCAGAACACGTGAGACAGAGAGAGGCATGAAACCAGAACACGTGAGACAGAGAGAGGCATGAAACCAGAACACGTGAGACAGAGAGAGGCATGAAACCAGAACACGAGAGACAGAGAGAGGCATGAAACCAGAACACGAGAGACAGAGAGAGGCATGAAACCAGAACACGAGAGATAGGAAAAACACAAGAAACCAGAACGAGATATTAAGAGAAAGCATCTAAAGCAGACAAGATTAATTTAATGAAAGTGAATAGGCAAATGGAAAAAAAAATGTCAAATGAATATAGTGTTGTAAAGACCCTATCTATCTGGATACAGAATCCAACAGACATTAATAAACTTCCCAAGAGAAAATATATTGGAACCAACTCAAAGCAGAAGAAGAATGCAATGGACAGAAATACAGACATAAAAAAAGCAGGAAATTCATTAAAAGAAGGTATAAACTCACAGAGCTAAACACACATATACATAAAAAAAAAAATGGGAGATACTGAACGAAGCATAATGTCTTCTGTGATAAGATTTACATTCCCTATATACCTTCCCGTCAATTTTATCTTTTCTGCCAATGGCTAAAGAGGAAGCCATATTGAATAATGTATTTCATCATTAGTTCCATTACAAATTCATAATCATTATATTTGCATTATTCCAATCATCATCATCAATGATTTTCTCAACAACATTCTCACACGAAAAATAAACGGGCAAATAAATAAGAATTCCTGCCTCTTATTCTTGGGTGTACTTGATGACTTCTTTTTGGAATTCAATTAAGATGGATGCCAGCTCACACCTTTAGGCCAGTCCTTACTCTATGTTTGGAAGCGTGTGCAGGTAGTGTAATGGATATCAGCACTGTAAGTAGAATTGGTGAGCCAAGTTCTAATTCCAGGCTAGTCTGTTGTATTCATTTTCTAACAAATGCTTTCTTTTTTGTTTGGGAGGCGGGGGTAAAAAAAAAAAAACCCAACTAAAGAAACAAAAAAAACCCCAAAAAACGAATGAATCCAACTCTTCTTTCAGCTAGAGGTTAAATTGCAGGGTAAATTGCCTTGGATTGGACCCACTTTAGAAGGACAATTCTGGATTTGAAACCAGCCGGAAAAGGGATAGGTTCTCTCAGGTGATGTTGCCCAAGACACACCCACTGCTGCTACAGCTGCTGTGCGTGTGGTGCATCTATGACCCTAATGGGTTATAGGACTCGTGTCTTATGAGTGTATTTTCTTGCGTCATGGTTTGACAGGTGAGAGGATTTTTTTTTTTGTATTTTTATCAATTAAACTGAAAAATCTCTTTTCATCTTCGGTTTTCTTACTCTGGCAGTGAATTTGATAGTGATTCAGAACAATTTCTATGTTGAAATGAAGTTAATATAAACAATGACTGAACTGGCTAAGATATTTGGGCAAACATGGATAAATGTGCCTGCAATAAGACGTCAAAAGAACTCTTTTTCTGATGACACCACTCTCTTAACTACCTTCACTCCTTGACAATGCTTGTTTTAAAAAGCAATGCTTAGTATTGTAATAAAACAAACATTGTTCTTGACAATTTACAATGAAAATAATAAACACTATTTACTACATTTATTGAAATTAGCTAATTGCCAATTGATTCAAACTTTATAAAATGGTAAATAAGGATTTCCTTACAGTTGGTTCATAATTTAATAAAGCTTCATAAGTTTATGAATAAAACTTATTTTCCCATTTATTTCTTTATAAATTGGTAAGTGATAAATATTGCATTAGTTCTAATTGTATTAATTTTTAGAATGTTACAATAATAAAATTATTCTTATAATAAATAGTGTTCAATATATTTGTTGTAAATTCTTAAGAACAAAAATAAATGTACAAATTCACTTTCATGTGTTTAGGTTTTATTCCAATTCTAATTATCACTATTAAAAACAATAAACATTGTCATGGAGTGAAGGTTGTTAAAAGCCCGTGTCATGGGGGGGAAAAAACCCCAATCCTTCTGACACCCCATCTTATTGTGGGCATGTTTATCCCTGTTTGCCAATATTTGATTATTATGGACAAAAAGGATCCAATAAAATTATAAGATTATTTAAAAACTTTTTTTTTTTTTTTTTTTATTCACCATAAATGGCACGTTCCAGGTTAGAAAATACAGTATATATAATTAGTATCAAAAATTTCTCAAACTGTATGTACTGTGATTGTACCAATGTGATTTGTACCCAGGCTACTAGTCTGCAAAGAGGTTTCCTTTTATCGACTCCTGTTCAATTATATAAGGTTTTATAATCTTTCCACGGAATGGCACTGCAATATTTACGAGGGCAGACAAATTCAAGCAACATTCCTGTATACAATTTTGCGTAAAGCACAGCAAATATGCTGCAGAGACCCTTGACTTTTGGGTTAATATTCTTTTACACAAACAGAGGCTTTTTTTTTTAAGAAGCACAAATGTTTCAGGGTCGATCAAATGTCAGTTTAAGATGAGTGTTCAGGGTAACCAATCACTAGCAAAAGTCAGAAAATGTGGAAATTGTGTGTGTGTGTGTGTGTGTGTGTGTGTGTGTGTGCATGTGCATATGTATCTACAAGGGATTAGATAAAATTGGATTTTCACACACATATACTTACACAGGTGTAAATTTACAGTGTGATTTGTAAGTTGAATCTTGAACTGAAACTCTCACAGTATAAAATTCACTTTATATGATTATTCACCAAAGAATTCAGTGCATTGACAAGGAAGACATCATATTAAAAAATAAATATCTTCATTGTTGCACTAGACTTCTTGGAGGTATCCAAGTACATCCATGAGGTTATGTATTTAAAGTAAACTATATATTTTCATAGTGGCGAAGCCAAAACCCCAAATGGGATATAAAAAGAAGTTAAATGTGCCCCCAGGCAGTACCTTTCCCTAGTGGGAGAGGAGGGTTAATGCCTGGCACCTGTGGCATCTCCAAAAGGAAAAAGGCGGAGGGAGCTTGAACAATTTTTATCTTTAGTCCTCTGTTTATGGGATACCCTACTTAAAACGTTACTACATCATATTCCATTGGAGTGGGTGTCTGAATAGATACCTACAGAGTGAACATTATACAATGGAAATTTCAGGTCAAAATTTAACTTATATGCCATGATGCAAAATCTGAGCCTGCAGCTGTGTCATAATATAATTTTTCTCAATACATGCATTATTATTAGCATCGCTGGTTGTTACAGAAAGCCCGTACAGGTGTCTCTCTCTCTCATATATATATATATATATATATATATATATATATATATATATATATATATATAAAAAACACACACACTTTTATTTTAGGATGTTAACTTAACATGTTGATTTAATATCCTAAAATAAAGAATTTTAGTCTACTTTTGGTATTGAGTCCTCTTTTAAACTAATGTTATGAATGTTGGAATTTATATTCGATTTGTTCTCATTTCATATATATATATATATATATATATATATATATATATATATGACATCTGGCCTGAAGATTGCATTGAAGCATGAAATAGACTGTCTCTGCTCGGTGTTGATCTCAGTGGCTATTTTTATATTTACATACACTATCCCTGATATTGATCATTTTACCCATCAATACAGCATACCTTAAACCTATATTTTTTATCACACACACATCCCTATACGTATATATCTCCAAACAGGTGTGATTAAAATGAACCAACAAGGTCTGTCTGTTTAACTTTTTATTATATTTTTCAATTTTTAGATAAGGCATTGGATATTGTTTTTGTGATAGTTAGAATTCCTTTGTCTGCATCTTAAAGGAATTCTAACTACCACACAGACAACATGTCAGTCCCTGATAATGATTGCGAAAGTGTAAAGTACTTGAACAAAAATAACAAAATATGAACTTTGGATAATTTATTCACAACTTTGAGCACAACACTCAACATCTTATATATAATTAAACCAACAGTTCCTTTTGGATGAATAAACATATATATATATATATATATATATATATATATATATATATATATATATATATAAAAGGATATTACACTGAAAACATGTAAAAATCATTACACAATTGCAATTGTGTTTTAATGCATATCAATGCATCTCATCAGGAGATTATAAATTACTGGTGAGTGAACAATTTATTAAGATTTAAAAGCAAAATACAAAAAAAAAAAAAAAGAAAGATATTGTACTTATCATATCTGGATATACATTATATATATATATATATATATATATATATCTCATAATATATAAATATAATATATAAATATCTATATAATATTACATATTGGATCATGCTATTGAAGAAAAAATGTATATTTATATACATGTGTGTGTGTGTGTGTGTGTGTATATATGTGTTTTTTCTTACATGGATTTATTTTTAGAACTACATTTTATAACTTCAACTGTTTAGTGGATACCTATATTCGAAATATTTGCACTGATTTTAATTTTAGTGTGTATTTGCCTGCACACCTGAGAAGAATAAATAAAGAAAATATGCTCTCCGACAGGGTTTGAACCTACATCTCTCTTTTGAAGAAGAAAAAAAAACTGAAAAAAAAAAACCCTTTGATCTGGCATGTTTTTGACCACTTGGCAACATAGAGCCTTGCTGGGTTGTTTGCACTATTTCAGTTTTAAGGAAAGCATAGTTTCTTGTTCAGATTTTTTTTTGAAAGCCATTTGCTCAGTTTCATATATGAAATGCAAACAAAGCAATCCCTTAATGGATTTATTTTTAATATGTCATTTAATTGCATCTAACATTATTTTTTTGCTGGATAGCCGTATTTGAAAAAGATGGCTTTGCCTCACTGACAGATGTAATGCATGGTTTAAATTAAAAAAACTGGGTGTCTATTTCAATTACACTTACCCATTAAAAATAATGTTTAAAGTTATATATATATATATATATATATATATATATATATGTGTGTGTGATAATGTGGACATGGTCTGAATATTGTATTAAAATATGAAACTGACAATTACTATACAGCGTTGATTCCTATGTCTACTGTTTATATCTGTAAATACTCCATATCCAATATTGAGCTCTCTCCCACAATAAATACAATTTTTGAAACATGCACACGCATATACACACAAACATATATGCACACACACACATATATGCAGCCACACACATTGTAAATGATCAAATTTCTCATTTCATTGTATAAAACACAGTGAAAT